TTGAGGTTTTAATGATTGAATGACTTGAATCCTGATCAAATTCCTGTTGTTTCTGCTTTAACCTAGAATGAGAATATCTGCCTAGGTTGATAGAGTATCCTTGATTGAAGGTAGGGAGTTGGTGACTTTAGTCGAGGAACCAACTCACTATTCTGTACCGGATTTACTCCGGTAGTGGAGGTTTTGTTCTTAGGGCCTCAATCTGTCTACTCCGGTGGAGGTTAGTCGCCCGCTAGAGATTCAGATTGAGAGGGTCTGAAGACCTTTAGTCGAGACTTCAGGCTGTTTAAGAACCTTCCGCAGTGTAACTATCATAGAAACTGAACTTGGTAATTACAATCCGGCTTAACTGCAGTCTAGGGGGGACCATATCCGGGTGACCTCCTTAACTTGAATACAACCGTTTGTTTGCTTTGTTAGTTTGTTAGTTGAGACTTGCATTAAAGTTTTATTGCTAGATAACAAGAATTCACTGAGTAGTCATCACATCTAGGACTCGGGTTGATAATTAAACCCAAACCCGCTATACTACACTTTAGGAAGTGGTTTCACTTGGCCAATTCTTGGAGTGACAGTAAAGTCGAGTCAGTCACACTCCTATGGTGGCGATGTGTGTCAAAGTTGAATTAATGAGTAACGACCAAGTGGAAATTGAGCATGAGGGTGTTTGCGAGGGAAGACAATATGTGATGGAATGCGAGTTCTTCCAGTAGTCTCTTTGTTAATAGAATTGACTTGACAAATTTATCTTACCAATTTGCGGAGCGGGAGCTAGAGCAGGAGCTAGAATGGGAGCGTAAGAGTGTATACTCTTCAAGAATTATAATTTGAGTGGGCCGAAAAAGCTTGAATATTATATTATTTTAATTAATATATCATTTAACTTACTAACATGTTTTGGTAAAAAAATTACATCAATGCAGTGGAAAAAATAAAATAATATTAGTAGAATAATAGCTTTAAATAATCTGATTAGGCCTGAAAAAAAACAAACTTCAAAAGGTGAATAGAAACCCAAAAAAAATTTACGATACTATTTTGTTTTATTTTTTTAAAAAGGAAAAGAGAAATGAATGCATCGTTTATCCACCCCCATGCACTCAATTAGTTGTTAATAAAAGAGTCTATATCTTCTTCTTCCCCTTTGATTCTTTGTTTCCTAAGCCGACTCTGGAGATCTCCTGTAGATGTACCAAATTGGCAAATTCTATATCATCTGCTATCTAACTAACATCCTATCATTTTATTCAGCCCTCAGCCCGTGATTTGATGATCTATTTCACAGTACTCATTCATGAACTCGTAGTGTATCCTTTTCGTCTTTGCTCTCCAGATCTCTGACGGTACCGCATGTATTTCTTTCTCCCACGAAGAATCAGGTCATCATCTTCGAGCCAAAGCTGTTGATTTGGCTATAACTTGTTTCATTTTACTTTGTTTATAAAGAGAAAAATCTCTCAAATAAGTGATATTTGAAAATTTGCGAACAATGATTTTCGATGCTCTGATTTTTAGTTTGAGCAAAAATTTCTGCATTTTGGAAGTTTGATAGTTTCTGTAAAATAATTATGAAGCAAAAATATAATTTCTACTTTCGTTTTCGTTGTAGGAATTTTGATATGAGACAACAATTTTCTCATTTTAGTATTATATATTGTGTAGAGTGTATATAAAGACATATCTTTTCCCTACAAATTCATTAGCACATTGAAAAAAGGTGAAATGAACCAACTTATTAAACTCCTAATGATTGTTGGATCCAATCATGTCAGAATAGGAAAAGGTTTAAAATTTGACGGTTAGCCGAACTAAAATGTTCAAAGAACCAGTCCCATATAGTTTACACAAAGATATGAATACGATTATGTAATAGTAGGTTTAAAAATTAATACTAATTTAATAATTATACATAACTTTTACATATTCAACACTGCAATTTGATATGGAATATTCGAACTAATGATATTTGGGCCGCGATTTTAAAGTTATCCTCTATTTATAAGATATATAAGAATTTAATTAATTATTAAATAATAATTAAAATAAGGAATTTGGCCTTTGTTAGTCACCTAAAGTTTCAACTCAAATGCATGTTTCTTAATAATTTTTGCTTCGTATTTGTATGAGATGAGGTCGACTGGCTCTATGACTGTGCAGCTCGAGAAAAATGAAATTTGCTATTGCGGGATTATGATAGCTTTTGAGATGGTTGGGTCGTGTATTGTAGGCTCTCAAATCTAAGTAAGAAGAAGAGACGATGGGATAGTCGAACATGGTATGTGATGTTTCATGTGATATGTAAAAGGATGACATGACAGTGTAGCTACATATACGAATTGTTGAAAACAACATCATTTTAAAGTGGCTGATGCTCGAATCAGTTGGTTAAATCGGTTGGATTTCCCACTAAGATAGACAAACTTGACTTTGACCCAGCCTAAGTAGACAACCAACTGGGCCTTCGGCACCCGTTGAGATACTCAGGTTTAGATAGAATTGGTTCGACCAACAGAGTCATACACGAATTGAAAATCATGGTTATGACTTTTGTCTGTGTTTGAAGATACATTAGTTCAAATCCCAATACTTGTCTATTTTCTATACAAAATAAAGACAAATAATGGCGAATACAAAAATGTCATTCATACTTTTGCTCTCGTTGTAGGAAATTTGAAATGAGACGACAATTTTATCGTGCCAATAGTATATATTGTGTAGAGTGTATATGTAGACATGTCCTTGCTCTAAAAATTCATTTTAATACATAAAAAGATGAAATAAACCAATCTATTAAACTCAACCTCTTTTACTGATTGTTGGGTCCATCATATTGTCATATTAGGAAAATATTTAAAACTTAACGGTTAACTGAGCTAAAAACGTTCAAAGAACCCGTCCCCATATAGTTTGCAGAAAGATATGAATATGATTGCCTCATAGTAGTTCTATAAACTAATACTAATGCAGGAGTTCAACATCGCTTCTACACATTCGATATGTAATATTGAACCAATGATATTTGGTCTATGATTTTAAAGTTATCGTCTATTTATAAGATAAATAGAGATTTAAATTAAGTATTAAAGTATAATTAAAATAATTAAATATGAAAATCAAAATATCAAAACACCAATAAGTACTGAGCGAAGATTTAGCGACCTTAGCAAACCAAAAGTTCTGTGATTTTTTAATTTTAGCTTCATGTATGTTTTTTATTTAAAATGATACAACTAATCTATGTAGTATGATTGGTTAAGATTCTTTTCATAGTTGAAAATGACCACAGTTCAAATCCTAGTATGTGTATTTTTAAAGAATAAATGACAAACAAATAGATCATTGTGAAGACAAAAACACACTTTCTATTTTCACTCTCGTTGCAGGAAAATTTGAATAGAGGTGAAAAAATATATTGAGCTATCTATATACCTGCAGACTTGTAGATTTCCATGAATTTGGGATTTGTTTTCTAGTCATTTTGAATTTTGAAACCCACAGATCACTCTAACTCTTCTCTTGTGCAACAGTAACCTCTTATGCCTTTAATTAGTGTATTAAGATTTTTGGAGGGTTGTGTGTATCTTTTTTTTTCCTTCTTCTTTTTGATATGTTGTTTGTGTCTCTCAGGTATAGCTAGTAGCTACTATTTTCTTGCATTTGTATGTTCCAACCACATCAACTCATATGTATAGACATAACTCTATTAGTATGGTGATTTTGAAAGCGTAAAAACGTAAGTTGTTAAATTTTAAAGTGTAGATTTTGATTACACTAGGAATTGAAACGAGCGATTCTCCATAGAAGCATTTTGATAACATACACATGTAAAAATGTAAATTTTTAACTTTAAAGTACGATTTTAACTGCATGCATCCTAGCTACCTCTAAACATATAACGTGGGTCTCAAATATTCGAAGCCAGAACAACAATGAACAAATTTGGCCAACTTTCACCGAGCTCCTTTGCCCAATTGAAACGGTATCCAAAAAAAAGGGATCCAGTCGTCTGTTGTGACACATTATAAATATGGGGTGATTGATTTTATACAATATTTATGTGCACTTGGCTGGTGATGATAAAATAGGGTGTTTGGTTTGCTGGTCTTCATTTAAAAGAAGTAGGTAGACTATATATATGGTTATAGTGGGTAATACATTATATATAATTAGTCCAGTTCACTATTTTTTTTTTGTTGTTGTCCTGTATACACCTAATAATATAAACTAAATTAAATGCCGCATGGATGAATCTCGACATTTAATTCGATGCCGCATGACAAAGAACGGTGTTGTTTGGAGTCGAGCGGCATCGCGGAGAATTAAAACGACACCGCAAGGAAGCTCAACAACAATGCGGTACTTAAAACGACATTTTTTTAGGAAAAAACAATGTCGGATGCACTCGGCCTGTTGGTGTTGTTATTGAAAAACGAATGTTTTTGTTTATTCCTTGTCGGAAGAGGAGGGAAATGACACCGCATAGAAGCTCGACGGTACCGCGGTGTTGAGAATTCGGTGAAAACAATGTCGTGAGCCAAGGCTACGAATTTATTGGGGTTCGCAATGCTGCTGTTGGAGTTGGAAAAGGGAGCGTTTTTATTTTTTCCTGGTCGGATGATGGATAAAACGGTGCCGCGAACCTCAAAGCTCAACGACATCGCGAGACTGGGAAACAGTGTCGTTTAGCTAAAAACGACACCGCGAGTAAACCCAATGACACCGCGAGAGGTCTTTGTAAGCAATGCCATTTAGTTAAAAACTATACCACAGCGGGTTGGATTTTGGTGAGGGCGAACCGGCAAGCCCAACGACACCGCAAGACGAGAAAAACGGTACCGTTTGGTAGAGAACAATGTCGCGGAATGAAAAATGACATTGTTTGATGGGACCGAGACGGAGCAGTTCAAGGTCGGCATCAATCATTGAAAAGCGATGCCGCGGAAAGATTAAATGGCACCGAGGGATGAGAATTTGACCGCGTGACAATAATGAGCCAGTTTAATTAATTAATCTGTTTAATAATTATTTTAGACGATGTTGTTTGGCTAAAAATGACGCCGCGAGAGAAAACAACACCGCAGAGTAGAAAACGACAGTGTTTAATATAAAACAATGTCGCGAAGTAAAATGTAGACAGAGCTGTTTGGGGAATAAAACGACATCGCGTGAGATTCACGCCAACCAGAGAGAGGAGGAGATCAAGACGGCTAAGCTACGTGGGAGTTGTGAGCAGTTGAGGAAGTAGTTTTACCGAGCGTGAAGACTACGAAGATGTTTTTCAAATAAAAGCAGTGGAGTAAGGAGAGAGAAGGGGAGAACCTAATCAACACAGAAACACATCTGTCAAAATTATCTTTTCTCTGTAACTCCTTCGCGGAGCTCTCCTTCTAGGAAGGATCTCCATAGTTTTAGTCTTAGTCGTAGTCGCGGAGCTCTCCACAGGAATCTACATAGGAGTAGTCGTAACGTAGATTCCTCAAAAACTCAAACACCGTCGTTCGAACGTAGTTTGGAGAGGTGCGAACCGTAGTAGCGGTCGCGTTGGTTAGAAGTCAGAGGTGCCTCAATCATATCGATATCACCCGATAGTGGATATTTGACGGTCACGTTGATTTCACCATTCTGAGGTGCATCAATCAAATCAACATCGCCCGACGCCCGGCGGTGGATATTGACGGTCACGCTGATTTCAACATTCAGCAGTGCGTCCGACCCAACGGCACCGCAAGAGTTTCCATCGCGAAATATCAAATCAACATTGCCGAAAACAAATTCGACTTTTGACGGTGGATATTTGGTTTCACACCGAAACAATATGGCACACTTGGTGGGACCCGTGTGTTTGATGTGAATTCGGCTCTGCATCAAGGAAAACAAGATCGTGATCTTCCACACGTACCTGTGGAGGAGGAGGCGCCGACATTGAAGTTGGTCAGAAGAACGAGGCAGATAGACGTACTCAAGGGATGGAGGAGCTGCTACATGATGAAATCTTGTATCTACGTCAATCCATGAAGGAGTTTCGCCAATCCATGAAGGAGTTTCGCCAAGAGGTAAATCTCCAATTTGATAATCTTGAAAAGAAAATAGATAAATTTGAAAAAGACATAGATTGATGGTGTGATAAGTTGGATAATTGCTTTTCTGATTTTATATGTCAATATGTAAATCCACATATGATTTAGAAAATCAATCACGTGTGAGTAGCGAGCAAGTGTGTTATCCGCCAATTTTTGTGGATCGATCGCTTTTGCAGTGTCGTGACCAAAGTAATGGTCAATCCAACGTTGCTCATATCAATATTGAACAATCCAACTTGCAATGTATGGCTGGTAGTGAATTTATGGGAGCCAACCGTGAACTAATCAATAGTGGTAGACCCGATAGTGTCAATCAAACTCTATCGCCGATTATGGCTACGACACTGTTGCCAGAATCAAGGAATCCCAATGTGTCTTTTCCGGTGAACACCATCGTTCTTAAGGACAGACAAGTTGGAGGTGACTTGCAGAGTCGCAACTTGAGGATAAACAGTGTCGTTGAGAATAATAATCAAGGTGGAGAACCTGGTCACAAGTACGTTGAGCATAGTAGCTCTTATTTGATGGGTTGCCAAAGCAACATCGCAATGACATTCACTCTGAACCGCTCGGGGGGCATGAGATCCCACCGCATGACCGGTTGAAAGAAAAACAACATTGCAATTGGCATACAAGTTTGCCAAATTCACTATGTTCTAGGAAAATTCAAAGAAGGTTTACCACAAACGCTCTGCAGTGTGGGGGTGGTAGCCACGTGAAAAAACCCAATGCCACCAAAGTTGGAATGAATCAAAAGAATCCTCCACGTAAAGTGCCCCCAAAGACTCCATTGAGTGAACTGGGGGGCAAGCTCAATCGAGCACGACATGGAGTTTCCACACCAATGTTTGCTAAGAGGAAGTCTGCCATGAATGGTGGATTGGGGAGCAAGCCTGATGCCCAAAAAACTCCAAACTCAAGTAGGAGCTCAAACGCGACAAAGTTGTGTGGAAGGGAAAAACAATGTCGGATTCACTCGGCCTATTAGTGTTGTTATTGGAAAAGGAATGTTTTTGTTTATTCCTTGTCGGAAGAGGAGGGAAACGACATCGCGTAGAAGCTCGACGGTACCGCGGTGTTGAGAATTCGGTGAAAACAATGTCACGAACCAAGGCTACGAATTTATTGGGGTTCGCGATTCTGCTGTTGGAGTTGGAAAAGGGAGCATTTTTTTCCTTGTCGGATGAGGGATAAAACGGTGTCTCGAACCTCAAAGCTCAACGACATCGGGAGACTGGGAAACGATGTCGTTTGGCTAAAAACGGCACCGCGAGTAAACCCAACGACACCGCGGATTAGAAAACGATACCGCGAGAGGTCTTTGTAAGCGATACTGTTTAGTTAAAAACTATACCACAACGGGTTGGATTTTGGTGAGGGTGGCCCGGCAAGCCCAACTGCACCGCAAGAAGAGAAAAACGGTACTGTTTGGTAGAGAACAATGTCGCGGAATGAAAAACGACATTGTTTGGTGGAATCGGGACGGAGCAGTTCAAGGTCGACATCGATAAGTGAAAAGCCATACCGCGGAAAGATTGAACGCCGCCGAGGGATGCAAATTTGACCGCGTGACAATAATGAGCCGGTGTAATTAATTAATCTGTTTAATGATTATTTTAGACGGTGTAGTTTGGCTAAAAACGACGCCGCGAGAGAAAACAACACCGCGGAGTAGAAAACGACAGTGTTTAATATAAAACAATTTGGCGGAGTAAAAAGTAGACATAGTTGTTTGGGGAATAAAACGACATCGCATGAGATTCATACCAACCAGAGCGAGGAGGAGATCAAGACGGTTGAGACACGTGGGAGTTCACAACGAAGCAGTTGAGGAAGCGGTTTTCACCGAGCGTGAAGATTACAAAGATGTTTTTCGAATAAAAGCTGTGGAGCAAGGAGAGAGAAGGGGGACAACCAAATCAACACGAAAACACATCTGTCAAACTTATCTTTTTCTCTGTAACTCCTTCGCGGAGCTCTCTTTCCAGGAAGGATCTCCATAGTTGTAGTCTTAGTCGTAGTCTCGGAGCTCTCCACAGGAATCTCCATAGGAGTAGTCATAGCGTAGATTCCTCAAAAACTCAAACACCCTCGTTCGAACGTAGTTTGGAGAGGTGCGAACCGTAGTAACGGTCGCGTTGGTTAGAAGTCAGTGGTGTATCGATCAGATCAACATCGCTCGGCGGCAGATATTTGACGGTCATGTTGATTTCACCATTTAGAGGTGCATCGATCAAATCAACATCACCCGACACCCGACGGTGGATATTTGACGGTCACGCTGATTTCAACATTCAGCGGTACGTCCGATCCAACGGCATCAAAAGAATTTCCATCGCGAAATATCAAATCAACATTGTCGGAAACAAATTCGACTTTCGGCGGTGGATATTTGGTTTCGCAGCGAAACATGTCCCAACTCCGAAATTAGTGTTCAATTCACAACACGACTGTGGCAACATTATATGTAAGGACGTCCTTACAATTTTTATAGTCGTCTGGTCACTCACGGAGTACATTGATCATATTGGTTATTAACCATTTCTTTTACTGTTTTGCTAGTGATACTAAAAATAAGGGTACTTAGTAGTAGGGATGGTTATCGTGTGGGTTGAATGAGTATTTATCTCAAATTGACTCACTCGATGGCTTAGGAACATGTTTGTATAATTATAACCAGATACCCTCACCCACATATTCTCTTTCGGATTGGTTTAGATTTATGGTTGATGAGTATAGATGGTTTATGGGTTCTGAAAAACAATTTTCCAATTAACTATTAAGTAGATCGACATAAATATACAATAATAAGTTCATGCAAAGTAGAAATATTATAACAATTTAGACACTTTCGTTTTGTATGAATCAATTCTTGTTAATATATATATATATATATATATATATATATATATATCCAATTGCAACTCCTAATAGGGATCAAATAGAAAATGAAAGTATGATCATACAACTACAATGAAATATACGGATAGATTAGTACTTGTTCGGTCCGTTTGGTACCAAATGAATCGAGAATTCATTTCATTTTAAAATAAATTACTGTGTAGAATTCATTGTCAAATGAATTCTTATGTTTGGTATGTCATGTTCAAATATTTAGAAATGAAATGAATTCTTAAATCATGTTTGGCTACATTCGGAGTTGAATTAAATTAAAAATTACAGCTACGCCCTTATTAATTTCCATCAAATCAAAATAATATATAGCTGGAGGATCAGTAATCGAGATGAGGTATAGTAAACAAACTAAAAACTATACCATGACATGGTTCCATTATTGCAATAACGAGAATGGATGTGTGCAGGTCCATTGTAAATTTTAAAGCTATATCACTCATCATTAGGACACCAATTTTGAAGAAAGATCACAAAACTGTGATTTTTTCGGTATGGCGTGGTTGAGCATTCTGGTCATTACTAGGAAGATAAAGCTCCCGAAGTTGCAACACATGTTATCCATAAGAGGAGTTCCATGTTGAGTGGGCTCTTGATCTATGCCTTGAACATGGCACACATTGACTCCCAGTTGATTTTTTTGGAGAGGGTTCTCTGCAGGCGTTTCCTGAATTGTTGAGTGGTTGATGAAGGGTCTGAACGAGACATTTCATCTCTTCCCTCAACGATTTGCTTGAATTTGGCCGATGGAGAGCGTAAACCAGTATGATATGAAGAAGTCAAACAACTGTTTGAATATGTTATGCATCTCTTGGTAACTTCAAAACTTGGATGATTGATTTCTTGATTCCATTTATGAGGTTATACATGTGTACACACAAATGTCGAGGGTATAAGCATAACAAAAGGAAGAGATAGTAACAGGAAAAAATAACATAATATCATCTCATCATAGACAAAGGGAACACATATTATATGATATAAGTCGAGGCTCTAACTCCTGGACTTAAACAATCAGAAATGCAACAAAGATCGATTAAAGCACAACGATCACAAAGCGGATAATAGCCCAAACCAAATTCGTGAGTCGGGAAGAGGGCCAGATATACGAATGACTATTCGGCTAGGGTGATGAGCTAGTGAAAGTGTTGGTTTCCTCTTGCTGAATCGATTCCACGATCAAGAAAGAAGAAGAGAAGTTGGTGTTTGAAAAACCAATTCTAGGGTCTGTATTTCTGAATAAAATTGTTGATTACCTTCTAAAAGACTTAGTTCAGCCCCTTATATAGGCTACAAAGGTTTTGGGCCAAAAATAACAAAGAAACCCGAGTCTTGGTCCATAAGCCACTTAATCCGCAAAGGAAACAAAAACAACCCGCACCAGTAGATCAAAATCCACGCCCTGACCCCTCAAAATCCACAGTCGTGGATTTGTGTCTTCAGGCCGTGGCATTCCCTTGGACAGAATCCACGGTCGCAAGTCTATTTCCATGGTCGTGGATTTTAACCTCCAAACCGTGGATTTGTCCTGAGGTAGCCCCAACTTAAATCGTCATAACTTCTCGTCCCACGAATAGCTCGGCCTCCATATTGGTGAAGTTCAAAGCCAAATAAGCTTGAAGTTGACCCTTGAATGCCTTGTCTTGACTTCTAGTGATTGCACCACGCTCCTCTCGCACCAAAGTTGTCTTCAAGGAAAGGAGCTAATTTAGCAACATTGAATGTAGAAATCACACCATGCTCGCTCAACAGATCAATCTTGTAGGCGTTGCCATTGACACGGGCGAGGACTTAAAAGGGACCATCTCCACGAGGCAGTAGCTTAGAACGTTGTTGTTGGGGATAATGTTCCTTCCTCATGTGCACCCATAACCAATCTCCTGGCTCGAATCGTTGAGGACGCCGATGCTTGTTCATGTTCTTCAGAACTTATTCCGTCTGTTTCTCTATGTTCAGGTGCACCTTCTCATGCAAACCTCGAACAAACTCTACTTTCTTCACACCATCTAAATTCACACGCTCATTGATAGGTAAAGGAGACAAATCCAATGGGGTTAAAGGATTAAACCCATACACAATCTCAAATGGTGAAAACTTAGTGGTAGAATGAATAGCCCTATTATATGCAAACTCTACATGAGGTAAGCATTCTTCCCAACACTTGATATTACTCTTAATGACAGCCCTAAGCATTTGAGACAAGGTCCTATTTACCACTTCAGTTTGGCCATCCGTCTGAGGGTGGTAAGTAGTAGAAAACAACAACTTAGTTCCAAGCTTACTCCATAGAGTTTTCCAAAAGTAACTCAAGAACTTGAGATTGCGATCAGAGACTATAGCGCGAGGCATACCATGCAACTTAACAATTTCCCAAAAGAACAGTTCAGCTACATTAGATACATCATCGGTTTTGTGACATGGGATAAAGTGCACCATCTTTGAAAACCGGTCAACCACAACAAACACAGAATGTCTACCATTCTTAGGCTAAGGCAATCCAAGAACGAAATCCATAGAAATATCAATCCAAGGAGTAGTAGGAATAGGGAGAGGAAGGTATAACCTGTTTGGCTGAACTTTTGACTTGGCTTGGTGGCACTTAAGACACCGCGCACACACCTTCTCATGTCACTTCTCACGTGGGGCAAGTAAAAATGTTCCTGGAGGCAATCTAAAGTCTTGGATACCCCAA